GAGCATTTTATTAAAGTCTGAGTAAGTTCTATGCCATTTTATCACATGGGTAGTTTCGTATAACTACCACTATAATCAGGATAAAGAAGCTATTCCGTTGCCAGAGATCCCTTTCATACTACCCCTTTATATTCATTCCTACCTCCTTATCCCTCCTCTGGCCCTGATTCCTCAGAGGGGTTTTAAAAACATGAATTAGATATATTACTACCTGCTTCAAAGTTACCATAACTGCTTCTAATAATCAGACTAACGCACCACTCACCCATCTTCCCATGACTGGCTCTTTCTTGCATTTATATCTCTGTTAACAAAAATACCTCTGCAGAGAGAACTTTCCTCAATAGCTAGTGTAAAATAGCTAATCATTTATTTTCTATCACATCTCTTTATTTTAATCTTTTGCATATTGCCTATCAGTATCTAATATTTTTCTTATTAGTTTCTTACCTGTCTTTACCTCCATTAAATTTTATAGTTTCAAAGAGTAGCATCTTACTTGTTTTGTTTACTTCTTGATGTCCAGGGTTTATAATATTGCTTGTCACATAGTAGGTACACAATAAATATCCCCTGAATAATTGAATGTATTTATGATCTTCATTTTTTTAGCTATATTCACTAGGATTATAAAGCATGCTCCCCAGGACAGCTTTACAGAGCATCTAAAACAAATGTTATTTGTTGACAGAATATTTATATATTTTATTACTCCACATCTGAAATCTTATAACCCAGAAAGAGAAAAATTTTCTTAGATGTTCTAGCTTGTATCCCACAGTTTTTGCAACTAATTTATGCATTAATATTAGATACCCCTCCCCATTCATTATTAAATCATTGATTCTCTTACTAGGTTTATGTAAAGATCCCAAAATTCTTTTTTTAAATATGTTTTTATTGATTTTAGAGAGAGGAAAGGAGAGGGATAAAGAGATAGAAACATTGATATGAGAGCTACCTCCTGCACACCCCCTTCTGAGGCTTGAGCCTGCAGCCCAGAAATGGAACCAGTTACTTATTGGTTCATGGGTCGATACTCAATCCCTGAGCCACACCGACTGGGCAAAATCCTCAAATTTTTGATCAGCCCAGCTACTGCCAAGGAACGTAGAGTCTATGGGACACTTTGGACAGATTTTCTCTATAACTAGTTGGGTATGTTCTCTGCCTCCAGTCTGGTGTTCTATCCATATTAGATGACTTGGGCCTTGTGTGAGCCTCGAGGACCCTTCTGCCTCATCCTCCCTTTCCGCTCTTCTTTTAGGCAGCCATTATCAGTAGAGGGATAGGCCAGGTGGCCTCACTATTTCATTTTCCCTAGGCCTATACTTTGGTTTGTTCTATAGATCTAAGCCTCCGCTCCCGCCAACTTGTCCTTGGTGTCTGATATCCTTTACAGGTAGGGAAATCCCTTATTCTTGATTATCAGCTACAAAAGAAGAGCTGGCTTCATTTTAGAAGAGAAGATATTCAGAGAAGACCATTTCCTTTTTAAATCCCTTGACTATGTCAGTAAAAACATAATTCTAATATGAAAGACTAATGGTGTGTTGCAGAAGACTTCATTATGTCCTTAACCTATATCAGAACTCATTTTTGGAGGTGGGAAGGAGTCATGAGATTCCCTGTAAATATTACAAAACAGGATTTTCCCCTACTTATAATTAAAAAACTTCTAAGCATTTAAAAATGTTTCTGCTTGTTTATTTGTCTTTGATTTTAATCTATATTAAGAATCCCAAATTTGAGGTAATAAATTTTAGAATCTCTGCATTGAGCTGTACTTAAAGTATTTCTGTTTTATTCACTAACTGACATGCTTTTTTGAATGTTTACCAAATAGGGATATAAGTTCCTTCTTGCCAGGGCCGTGTTTTTTCATCTTCTACAATCTACAGCATGCAATAGGCAATCAGTAAATATAGGAATAGTGTGGAAGTAAAATAGTCTTGAGATATATTAAAATAAGCAAATGGATCAAAAATTTATAGGTTATAGTAGTGTGGTTATTGCTAAATAATTTTGACTATATAAGAAATAGATCAATACTAAGCCAATTTCAAATCAGTATTTTCTGTAAATATTTTTCATATAAATTATTTTAATTCTAGTACTTTGTATCGATAGCCAAAGAAATGAGGTTAAACGTAATGATCTCTGTTATAACTTTTGTTTTCTTTTGTGCTTTCTCAATTCTTTTCATGTGATCCTGGACTTTGGGCTGTTAATGGAATGATTTTTGGATGCTGTGAACCACAGAGCCTATTGTGAAGAATGGCAGGCCTCCAACCTCTCACAGCATGCATTCCTTCCTACACCAATACACAGGGTCCTTCAAGAAGCCCCCATTGCGGAGACCACATAGTGTTATTGGAGGAAGCCTTGGCTCCTTCATGGCAATGCCCAGAAATGGAAGCAGATTAGGTAATTTAATTATTTGTCTAGTTTTTTTATTGGGTTTTTTTTTTTTAACTTTCTTACTGTAGGTCGTGTACATAGCTAGTAGGTTTTAGGTATATGGAAGTCAGCCAGCCTTTATTATCTAATGTGTCTTGTATTATCTGATTTGTCTTGTAAGATAAAAATCAAGTTGAGAATAAGAAAGAGAGCAGAAAGATAGAAGGTTCTAGAGCAGTGGTTCTCAACCTTCCTAATGCTGCGACCCTTTACTACAGTTCCTCATGTTGTGGTGACCCCCAATTTCATTGTTACAAATTGAACATAATTAAAGCATAGTGATTAATCACAAAAACAATATGTAATTATATATGTGTTTTCTGATGGTCTTAGGCGACCCCTGTGAAAGGGTCATTCGACCCCCAAAGGGGTCGCGACCCACATGTTGAGAACCGCTGTTCTAGAGAGTAGTAGTACTGACACTACAGAGGAGTAACATTTGAAAATCTGTCCACCATGAAGAAAACAACATCCTTGAGAGGTGTATGCAAGATTTAAAGATATGGCAGCTTGAGGTGATGCTTAATTTAGGTTTATACCTGGTAAATCCAGATTATCACCATATGATAACCCAGTACAATAATTAGTATATATGAGTAGCACCTGATTTGTTATTCTTATGTTACTATCATTTTAAATATCTAGGAAAAACGTATACTTGCAAGGTTCTGTTTATTTCTCTGGTCTTTGTTTGGTGGTGGCTTACTACGTTTTTATTCTAAAATAACTAAGTGTAATTATTTTGTAGTCTTATGACAATTATATTTACTGAAGTTTCTGAGGGCTCTTGTCTGCTGCTTACTCTTGCCTTGGTAGATTATTTCTTCATGTATTTCGTTAATTTTAGAAGGTTTTATTTATGGGAATTGTGTGTGGCCTTTATCACTAGAGGTATAACCCTATCATGTTTGGAGTTGATTCACACTAGTTCATGACAGATGACTGTTAAATTTTCAGGAATTTTACAAGTTGATTGTTAAACATATCCATTAGTAAAATTTAAATTATACAAACTTACAATTAGGTAAGCTAAATGGAAAACAACGGGAATGAATACTTATTTCCTAATTACTTTATTGTACTTTACTATTACCAGTGTTTGGGGGGTTATTCATTTCTATTGTATATATATATAGTCAAAATACTATGTAATGTTTTACATATGTCTTCCCAAATACATGTTAAATGATGTCATGTTGAAAGCTTGAAGTTGGTATGGAGGGAGTACTTACCCCACAGAAATTGGAGAACACTTTAGATCAGGACTTGATTTATTGTTTTAATTGTCTAGACCCGTGGTCGGCAAACGGCGGCTCGCAAGCCACATGCGGCTCTTTGGTCTCTTGAGTGTGGGTCTTCCACAAAATGCCACGTGCGGGCGCGCACATACAGTGTGATTGAAACTTTGTGGCCCATGCGCAGAAGTCGGTGTTTTGTGGAAGAGCCACACTCAAGGGGCCAAAAAGCCGCATGGGGCTTGTGAGCCGCGGTTTGCCGAGTCGCAGTTTGCCGACCACTGGTAGACCAAGAGTTGGCAAACTTTTTCTGTCAAGGGCCAAATAGTAAATTTTTCAGGTGCACAACATATGGTCTCTGTTGCATATTCTTCCTTTTAAAATAGCACTCTAAAGATGCAAAAACGATCTTTAATATTTAGTTCAGGGGCCATACAAAACAATCATGTTTGCTGACCCTTGGTCTAAACTTAAGAAAGTGATGTTAAGTCCTGGGTAGGTAGTTCAGTTACTTAGAGTGTCTTGATATGATAAGTCAAGGTTGTGGACATATATAAGAATCAACCAATGGGTGCAGAGAGAGTAGAACAATAGTTTGATGTTTTCTCTCCCTCTTCTTCTTCTTCTCCCTTTTCTCCTCTCTCCCTCCCTCTCCCCCTTTCTCCTTCCCTTTCTCTCCCACCCTTCCTTCCGCCCTTTCTCCTTCTCCGTCTTCCTCTGTCCCTTTCCCTTCTCTCCCACTTAAATTAATAAATAAATTAAAAATTAAAAAAGAGCGACGTTGACAATGTTAGTAATGCAGATTACATTTAAAAAAATGCCTTCTGTCTGTAGCTTTTACATTGTGAATTGCACAAAGCTTGAGCAATTTCAGAAATAAATATTCGTCTAGTACTTAAAAACTATTACCTGATTCAGCAAAGAAGTTGCTCACACCAATGACAAATGAGTGGAATTTTCACATAAGCCTGCATTGTTTCGGAAATGAAAATATCAACCAGTATTCATGTTGGAACTGCAATTGTTTGTTAATGACATGACCAGTTTTTTTGTTGAGTCAGGGAGTACGCAAATATTTATTTATAGTCTGAAATTAATATGCTCCTTTGTAGTCTTTGTGCAGTATAACAAATTTGTTTTTTAAGACTGCCCTTTACTGAAGTTGTAGCACTCGGGAGTATTGTGCCTTTCTGCAGGAAGCTCTCACTTGCATGCAGCTTGGATACCAGGGCTTCATCTTTTATTCCAGTGTGGCAGCTAAACCTAAGCACCTTCTTAACCAAGATCAGCAGCCCCTCTTAAGAAAGTGACAGTCAATTTGTACATAGCAACTTTGGGTTTTCAGTTCTCTGTTTTTGCTTCCTTGATATTATGCATACATTCTTGCAAACTGAGCTATACATTTTAAAGTATTATTTTTATTCAAAGTTTTCTTTAGATTTTCAGATTTTGAAAAATAGTTGCCTCAGATGTTAGATATCATAAGATCGAGAATCAGTCTCCAGTACATTGACTTTTACTGCCAAGTTAATTTTTTGTTCAGATCTCAGTATAAAATATTTCCAGAAATCTCTGTACCTAAAGAAGTATATTCTTTTTAAAAAAATATATATTTTATTGATTTTTTACAGAGAGGAAGGGAGAGAGATAGAGAGTTAGAAACATCGATGAGAGAGAGACATCGATCAGCTGCCTCCTGCACATCTCCCGCTGGGGATGTGCCCGCAACCCAGGTACATGCCCTTGACCGGAATCGAACCTGGGACCTTTCAGTCCGCAGGCCGATGCTCTATCCACTGAGCCAAACCGGTTTCGGCAAGAAGTATATTCTTAAATTACATGTCAATATATTTTAAAAACCATTGCCATTTGCAACTGTTTTTTTTTTTGTGTGTTTTTTTTTAGTGTGAAAACATTTTCTCAAGAATGTAATGTAAAATACAGAAATGTATGAATTTTAAGACTGGATGAGATCCTTGCGTTTAATTTTTGTTAAGCAGTTCTCATGTTTTTATGAGCAAATATTGCTTATGAAAGTTCAAATTTATTATAAAATGCTGTTTTTTTTGTTTGGCATTTTCATTTATATAACATTTCACTTGTAAAAAAAAGTCCCAGTTATCTAGTTTATTCTTGATTTTTAGTTATTATTTAATTCATTGGAATTTGTTGAGCACTTTCTAAGTTCCAGGCACTTCGTTAAATTCCTGGAATACAAAAGTGAATAAGCCAAATCCTGCCATCAGGGATCTCACCCACAGCTTGGTGTAAAATTACATGAACCACAAAATGCTGTTCAGTGCAGTAGGTACAGTGTGAGCATAGCAGTAGAAAAACTTCAGAGTGATGACACATCAGCATAGTTTTGAAGAGTAACTATAAAGAACTGATTTGTTTGGCTGTGAAGCCAATGGCACATTATTTTAATGGAAAGAATACTAAACTAAATAATAGCAAAAGACCAGATTTCTGTTTTTGCCTATAAGCTGTGTGACCTTTGAAAGTCATTTAATCTTTCATGGTCTCAGTTCCCAGATTTGAAAAATGAGAGAACTGACTTCAATAATTCTCATTGTTATTTCCAGTCTCTACTTTTATTATTCAACCTTGGTATTATCTTGAATATTAGTTTTCCCCTAATTTTTCATAATCTGAGAGTATAAAAGGAGTGCTTACTAGTGTTTTAAGACATTTACTAGTATGTTTCAATCTATTAACTGCACACCATGGTACCCAGAATGTACATGACTTTTTATGCTATGATTCTTTGTGTTTGCTATCTACATCTTGCTATAGTAGTAATAAATTATGTAATAATATCTCTCTTGAAAAGTAAATGTTTCATGTTCTAATACAGATATTGTTCATGAAAATCTAAAAATGGGATCAGATGGTGAGAGTGACCAAGCTTCTGGGACATCATCTGATGAAGTCCAATCACCTACAGGCGTTTGTCTTAGAAATCGTATACATAGACGGATCTCAATGGAGGTAACCATTAATAACTATAACTCTCCCCCTGTGTGCGTGTGTGTGTGTGTGTGTGTGTGTGTAAATATACGTGTATATATCAAACAGTCTAAATGCCTATTTGAAAATTTTCATGAAGGCAAATGAAACTTGAAAGAAAATTGTTTCTCTGCATTAGTGAAGAGTAGTTTCGTATTTCTTTTTTTCTAATTACCATAGCAAGCATGCATTAATTATATTTAACACTTTTCAAAACACTGTGTAGGTTCTCTATGAGGGAAATGTGAATTTTTGGAAGTTCTGGAAATCAGAATGTTATATTAGTAAAATACTCTATTTGGAAAATATTATTTTAATTAAGTTTCGAGATTCATCTGTATACTTTATATTTTATTTTATAAATATTTCAAATTTCAAAAGTTATACATACATAAAATAAGCATCAATTCTTCTTGCCTTACATTATAAATGTGGGTATCATTTCGTCTATGGTTCATTATACCTACTAATCTCTGTAGCACATATAAGTTATTTTTCCATGTGGAAGAATGAAGAGCTCATTTTTTTTTCTTTGTGAATGTTATGTATAAGCTTGAGGACAGAAGTTGATTACGAATGTTATCACTTCAGAATACTGTCGATTAAAATAGTTTTCTCTAAAAAAAATTGGGCATGTTTTAAAATGAGTATGTATTGTTAACTTTTGGTGCTGTTGAGTTGAGATGATGATGATTAGGGTATCTTTTGATTGCATTTTCATTGATAAAGATTGTTTCTGATTCAGTTAAGGAAAACAATATCAGTTTCCTAAATGATGAATTAATATTTTTATCTCTTGAGGTCAACGTGATAACTGTTCATATCACTGTATAATTTATGTCACAGTAATAATAAAAATAGTATTCCTGATTGTATTTACCATATAGATATATGATTTTCTTTGTTATATATTTTAAAATTTTATTTATTATCAGGATCTATATCTAGACTTTCTCATTCTTCCAGTGAGCTATATATATTTTTTTCTTAAAGGTGACAGTCTTGATTATATTGTTTTTATTGTGTATTTTATATTTGGAAAGATTTCTTTCTCAGTATTTCCCCACCTCACATACACATTCTCTGATTTATTTTAGAATGTTTTTGCATATTTCTGTTTATTCTCTAGATTAATTTTAAATGTTTTGTTCTAAGAATAATCTTATTATGATTTGTCCAGGGTTATGTAAAATATGGAATATGGAGAGCCATTATTTTTATTATTTAACCTTATCATTTGAAAACATGGTATATTTCTATACTTAAGTCATATATCTCAAGTATTTATACAGTCTCTGTACATCTCAGTTTTGTTTCATGGTTTTGTTACTATTATGAATAATAGGGATTTGTTTTTGTAGGATTTATGTTAGTTGATGTGATAATATAAGCAAGATTCCCTTTCACGTTTTTTCCAGTTCATATTCTATAATTAAACGAAATAGAAACGCCTTTTGCTTATTTCTGTCCATTGATATAGCAATAATAAAAAATTGCAGTTGTATCTGAGTTGTATACAAAATCATACAGTATCTACTTGGTTAGTTCATTTAAACCAATCACATTTTGTGGTACTCTTTGCCAATTCCTACTATGTGATAAAAGAATGTCAAGGTAAATTCCATTTTGAAAGAAGTTCAGAAATAGCTGGGTTACAGAGTACTATTTCTATAAAACTGCATTGTATACTTTTGCTTAGAATAAATATGCTTGCATTCAGTATATTATATATAATCAATACAGATAACTTTGTAACTACAATAAAACTTTACAGTTACATATCACTAAGAAATAATATATTTTAGCCCATGAATTCAAAAGCCAAATGGCCTTTTCTGTTTGTAGTTACCTACAAAAATATTTTTATTCTTTTTAGGATTTAAATAAACGGTTATCACTGCCTGCAGATATCAGAATACCTGATGGATATCTTGAAAAGTTTCAGATAAACAGTCCACCGTTTGACCAACCAATGAGCCGAAGATCTCGTAGAGCTTCCTTAGTAAGTTTTTAGTTGCCTATAACCTACACCATCACATGTGCTTTGTTTGATTTTTATGGGGTGTAAACATTTTATATTAATTCTTATATTTAGTTTTTGATTAGCTAAATTTTACTACATTTCCTTTTGGATTTTATTGTTTTCCATTCTTAAGGGTTTAAAGATGCATATTAGAATAGGGTTTAAGCTATGTTCTATTTTATTTTTGGTAAATTTTATTGATATATGCTAGATGTACAGAATATGTATTAGATATATAAATATATATTGACTAGAGGCCCGGTGCATGAATTCATGCACGGGTGGGGTCCCTCCCAGCCCATTGGGGCCCAGGCCCGCTGGTCGGCTGGGGAAAGGGACTGCGGGAGGTTGGTTGGCCACGGGAGGTTGGCTGTGGGAGTGCACTGACCACCAGAGGGTAGCTCCTGTGTTGAGTGTCTGCCTCCTGGTGGTCAATGCGTGTCATAGGTACCAGTCCATTGTCCAGTCTTCCGTCGTAATAGTAGCTTAGGCTTTTTTATATATAGATATGTATTAGATATACAGAAAAGTGCATAAACCATAATTGTGTAGCTCAATGCATTTTTGCTGAGTTAACATACCTGTATAACCAGTACCCAGATTGATGAAATTTCAGAAATCCAAAATCCCCCTCCTGCCACCTCTGTGTTTACTTTTGAGACCCACTTCCTCAACTCTAGCCATTATCCCTGCCTCGTAATGCCAAAGATTAATTTTGTCCTTAATGTTTTACACTGTTTGATTATATTATAGTATATTTTAATATCTGGAAAAACTTAAATCCTCATTTGTGTTCCTGTTCTTATTTTAAAAATGCTTTTGATATTTCTTTTCTGATTCTTATTTAGACTTGAACTTTAATTAAAAATATATGAATTATTAAACCCCATTTAATTCAAATATATAAATGTGTATTTATACAAGATTTTTACATATATTATACAATATGTATTCTTTTTGTGGTTGGCTTCATTGGCTCAGTGTATGCTTGTGTTTTATCTAGGTTGTTGTATGTAATTATAGTTCATTTGTTCTTATTGTCACATGTTATTCTATTGTATGAATATATTATTATACTTTATTCAGCCGCCTGTTCATGGGCACTTATATTTGGGTTGTTTTAGTTTTGGGCTTACCAAACAAAGCGTCTATCACCATATCTGTACTTGTGTTTTGGTTAACATATGTAAGCATTTCTTTTTTTTTTTTTAATTTTTTATTACAAAGGGTATTACATATGTGTCCATTTTTCCCCCCGCCCTAGACAGTCCCCTAGCCTCCCCTATCCCCCAGTGTCTTAAGCATTTCTTTTGGGTGCATATCTAGGAGTGCAATTGTTGGATAAGATTATGTGCATATGTTCAGCTTGCCTAGATGCTATCAAAACAGTTTCCAAAGTGGTTGTACTGTTTATACTTTCATCACCAGTACATGATAGTTCTAGTTGCTCTCCTTGCCTATTCTTGATATGGTCCCTTTTTAAAAATTTTTTGACTTTCTGATGAGAGTTATTTGTGGTTTTATTTTCCAATTTCCCATAAACTAAGCTGAACACTTTAAAAAAATTTTCCTTTTAATTAGATTTCTGGGAGGGAGGGGTTAATTTTTCTTTTTATTAGTTTCAGGTGTACAGCTAGTTGAACACTATAATGTTTCTTGGGGCATTTAGATACTCTAGTGAATTAACTGCTCAGGTCTATTGTCTCTTTTCTGTTGGGTTTTCTGCCTTTTATTGACTTATGGGAATTTTTTATACATTCTGTAATAAAGGACCTTTGTCACTTTTATGTCTTGCAAATTTCTTCTAGCATGTAGCAACTGACCCAATACAGTGGGGCCTTGACTTACGAGTGTCCTGATTAATGAGTTTTTTGAGATACCAGCTGTCTCTCGGCCGATTTTTTGCATTGAGTTGACAGAGTAATTTGAATTAACGAGCTTCTTAACGAGCTCAGTCTCGGAACGAATTAAACTTGTTAGTCAAGGCCCCACTGTACTGTTTATTGAAAGGGCAGTGTCATCTTCAACATAAATGCAGGTGATTGTATATGTGAGGATTTCTTTTGGATGGCTGTAGTCCTATAGAAGAGGTACATATAAAGTGCTGTGAGAGCCCTAGCTGGTTTGGCTCAGTGGATAGAGTGCCGGCCTGCAGACTGAGGGGTCCCAGGTTCGATTCTGGTCAAGGGCACATGCCCAGGTTGCTGTTCGATCCCCAGTAGGGGGCATGCAGGAAGCAGCCAATTACTGATTCTCTCTCATCATTGATGTTTCTCCCTCTCCCTTCCCCTTCCTTTCTGAAATCAATAAAAATAAATTCAAAAAGTAATAATAAAGTGCTACGAGACAACAAAAATAGCAAATAAAATGTCTTTGCACATCACAGGCTTATAGAGGAGATAGTGTTTAAGTTGGCTCTAGAAGAATGGGTAGGAATTTGTCAGGTTGAGTGTTCTAAGCAGAGGAAACTTCACGTATTAAAAAACCGAGTGGTATAGTCTGGCCAGAGTGCCTCAGTTGGTTGAGCATCATCCTATATACCTAAAGGATGCCAGTTCGATTCCTGGTAAGGGCAGGTTTGATCCCCAGTCTGGGAGGTTACAGAAGGCAATCATCAGTCCAAGTTTCTCTCTTACATGATGTTTCTCTCTTTTTCCCTCTCCCCTCGTTCCCTTCCTCTCCCTAAGCATTTCCTCAAGTGAGGAATAATACCCACCAAAGGTATAATTGTAGGTATCATTATAACTGATATGAAGGGTAAATGTGGATTAATATTAAAGAATAGGACTTGAAAGGTTAGAATGGATCCAGTATGGTTCATTGGGGCTCATGCAGGAAGCAACCAATCAATGTGTCGAAACAACTTTGTCATTTGATTATTGGTTGAAAGTGTTCTTTGGCTATCAATTTTTATCCAAGGTTGGTATTTGGAATACATTTTGAAGTTAATTAAATGTTCAGATTGGGACTAAAAGTATGATTCGATCACCATGTAATTCTTAAAGCTATCATTTTTAAAGCTGTCTTTTTCGGTCTACATGAAATTAAGGAAAACAGTGCCCTCTAATAAATGTTACAAGTGACTTTAGTTTTTATTGTGATTGGGTGTTCCCACTCACCTCTCTTGGTTTTTTATCTGAAATGGCTTATAGATTTCAGATTAATCATGCCAGCTGTGTTTTGATTTCTATTAATGCATTCCTTTCATTATTCACCTAACCTACAAAAAGGTGGTTTCTTTTGAAATATATTAGAAATGTATTCTTTTTTATTATTATTATTCTTTAACAACCTAAGTTTATGTATGAAGGAACCAGTTAGAGAGAAATGGAAAGGAGACGGAAAAAGAAAAATACTCTTCACATGTATTAGAGCTTATGTTTCTATGGATAATAGACACTTTATCTAAAAAATGTTTTTTCAAGATAAAATATAAAATTTTAGTTTTGTCTTTCTAAAAGCATAAAACTTTATGTTTTCAATATTAGCAATATATATGATAAGTAAACTAGTAAAAATAACGTAAATCCTTTGTTTGGGTAGAAATTAAGAAATAAGTCACAGAGTTCTTTTCTCTTGGAGAAAGACATAAATAGGGCTTATTGGTTCTTTTATAAATTTACTCGAGGCCTGATGCACAAAATTGGTGCAAGAATAGGCCTAACTTCCCCCGGCTGCCAGCAACGGCTTCCCTCCGGCCACCGGCAGGCACCCAGGAACCGGGCTTTCCTCTAGCCACCAGAAGGCACCCAGGACCCGGGCTTCCCCCACAGCCCCGACTTTGTCCAGAAGGTCATTCAGAAGGATGTCCGGTCTAATTAGCATATTATGCTTTTATTATTACAGATGATTGTCAACTTCAGAAATACTGTGTGGCTACCCTACTGTCTTTCTCTGGTTAACTTTTCCCCTCTCGCTCGAAGCAGACAGTCTCTTCTCCTACTTGATAAGGAGGAAAGAAACCATTATTTCTTGAGTAACAAATGTACAAATCTAGCTACATCTATACTCATTCTATTCTTTCCTGGTTTAATATTGAGGAATTGACCTTCCTATCCTATCTCCTCAGGAGGCTTAGAATATTTGTTATCCCTATACATTCATGTATATTTGGTCTTCCTCCTAGCTGAATCCTTCTCATTTTTTTAAAGTTTATATTTATTGAAAGTATTACAGATGTCCCCTTTTTCCCCCATTGATCCCCCTCCCCCCTCATATCCTTACCCAGGCCTTCACCACACTGTTGTCTGTGCCCATGAGTTAAGCATATATGCATACTAGAGGCCCAGTGCACTAATTCGTGCACCAGTGGGGTCCCTTGGCCTGGCCTGTAGGATCAGGCCAAAACCGGCTCTCCGACATCCCCTGAAGGGTCCCGGATTTCGAGAGGGTGCAGGCCAGGCTGAGGGATCCCACCAGTGCATGATCGGGGTTGGGGAGGGATGCGGGAGGTTGGCCAGCCAGGGAGGGACCACCAGAGGGCTCCAGAGCATGTCTGGGCCACCTTGCTCAGTCCCGATTGGCTGGACCCCAGCAGCAAGCTAACCTACCAGTCGAAGCGTCTGCCCCCTGGTGGTTAGTGCATGTCATAGCAAGCGGTTGAGCAGCCTTAGCATATTATTAGCATATTACGCTTTGATTGGTCGATCGGACACTTAGCATATTAGGCTTTTATTATATAGGGTAAGTTCTTTGGTTAATCTTTCCCCACCTACTCTTCACCCCCACCTTCCCTCTGACTTCTTATTTAAATAAATTTTAATTTTATAATAGTTTCAAATTTACAGAAAAACTTAAAAGATACTATAGCAGTCCTGGCTAGGTGGCTCCATTGGTTGGAGCCTCATCCTGGACACCAAAAGGTTCTGAGTTCAATTCCTTGTCAGAGCACATACCTAGGTTTGGGGTTCAATCCCCGGTCCAGGCACATATGGAAAGCAACTGATCAGCCAGCCTCTCTCTCCTCTCCCCCCGCCCCC